ATCCAGGTCGTCTCAGGTTCGGAGACACGACCTGATGTAGGTGCAACGGTCGGGTCCAGTCGTACCTTCGGTTCGGTACGACTGAGTCCCTACAGGGAATAGATGAAAAGCATTGAACAGCATTTTTCACAGCGACGGTCAGCGTTGGTCTGCTGGTGCGTTGGTGCTGCGTCGGGGTCCGGTCCGTTGCACCTGGCGTGTTGCACTGATAGAGCAACACGGAACCTCGGGTTGCCCTCTGGCTGGCAGAACTTCACAGTCTGACTGTAGTGTGGGGTTCGAGCCTTCAACAAAGGGTCGGCCCATAGTCAAGACAGCATGCGCTGGGTGGGGGATCAAAGTGATATAAACATGGCCACAATCAGTAGAAACCAGGTTCCTTCAAACACCAGTGAGATGGGCCAGCAGTTTGTTTGGCGGAGCGTTCTCGCTTGTAGGAGTTGGTTGTTCCCCTTCCGGTTGCTATGAATCAGCCGTGCTATACCAATTCGGTCTTGTCCTCCAAAGTCAGCACCCTAACGGTTCAACGGTTTGGTTCAGTTTACGCTCAAGGAGGTTCAGTCAGATTCATACTTTGCGGCCACATCCACATCCACCGAACGGAAACCGCTCGTCCAAACGCCAGATGAACCAGCTCGGACGAAGCCCCACCAGGGCTTCGGCCGGCCACGTCCCTGACACCGGGCCACTTGTTGTAGGACCAAAGCGAACAGGCCAACGAAGCTCAAGCTGTAGCATGCTGCTGCCTGGCAGAATGGCTCGAAGACATGGCGTGTAGACCCCCCAGTTCTCGCCGACGGGTCGGGTCTCCGAACCTTCAAGGGGCTGGAGTTGAGAGGTCTGGCATCCAGGCGATGGGCATGATCAAACTCAGGCTTTTTGGGTGGGAGAAAGACCCAGCCTTTGCTTCCAGCAAGCTTCTGCAACAAAGCATGTTCCTGCACTTCTTCTTAGTCCTATCTTCCGCGCTTCTTGTTCTGCATGTTCTTTTGCAACAAAGCCCCACACGCCAAGCAAAGAGAACAGAGCGTTGCGACTTGGTCCAGCACTGAACGTGTAATTTTGCTATGCGGCACAGGTGTGGCCGGCGCCAGTACCAAGGCTGATTGCGATTATGGCTTGGAAGATCCCGTTTACTCGCGATTCTGCAATGACTCATGACTCATGACCATTTCATCTCCAGTAGTTCCAAATAGCAGCCAGCTACATTTAATGTACAACCCCTCTAAGACTCTACTCACATCGCCATCCAGCTTCTCACTCCTCGTTCATTCAGATTTGCACCAATGAGCGGACCCAAAATATCACAGCAAACCCAGGACCTGTTGGTTGCTTACGGTTGGTCTGTGAAGGGTTTCAAAGGAGGTAGTGCATGGAAGGTAGGGGTGCACAATGTTACCCAGCTCATCTACTTATGCTTCTTAGCTTATATATTATACATCAAATGCCCTATATCAGAATCTGTGCCTTCAAATGCAAAGGCTCTTCAGTTGTTAGGCTTCAAATCCCTATTCAGACTGCTGCTACGGAGGGCGAATGGGTTCTTAGGGTTGGTCATAGCAAGCCATCCCGGAACTGATGGTGAAATTCCACAGATCCAGGTCTTGCCTCTGGGATGGTGTCGCACAAGGGCAGGGTCCACAAGGCATTGGCCAGAGCGGCTATCACGGCACCCAGGGCAGAGGCCAAGTCCAAGTGTAGCGCCAATGAGGAGCAGGCCTGCACTAAATGACAAAAAAAACAGAACAAGCAGATTCCAGGAGTCACGTGGAGGCCAGGGTGGTGTGGCTCGTCCCATCCACGGCCCGCGTGGATGTGACCTGACAAGGGCACCGTTCGGGGCACCTCCATGGATCGCACCCCGTCGAACGTGACTGCAGGTTCTAGAATCTACAGTGGATTCAGAGGTTCGATGGCACAATCCCCAATGTCGGTGGGTTTTATATGGGACCCCATCTGTCTCGGACAGATGCTGTGCCATCGAACTCACCTCTCATGGAGAAACTGTAGATCTTTCTCCACCAGACTCTGTCCATCATCAGTTCGGAACGGCCAGGCTTCCGGGCTGTGCCTGGCCGTCCAAATGTCTGCAGTGCGGATCCCGCGGCGATCGTATGCCCGAGCATGGTCAAGTCTGCATCACATGTGAGATATATGAGAAGGAGATAAGAGTGAATGAACCCAGCCATAAACCAATGTTTTGGATGGACATGGACATGGTGGCCGAAAACTGTGACAGACCTGTCCCCAGGACTTCGGCCAGTTCTCTCAGTGCCTTGCGGGCGTTGGAATTCAACTCCAGGACGAAGTGGAAACAAACCACGATGAAAGTCACCAAAAGAGCTCCTGCGATCACCCAACCGGCTGGGCTATCCCAGCTGGGCTCAGCCTGCAGGGAAGCAAAATAGAAGCAGGCCTCCGGTAAGCATGGCATGGCCGCCAGCAACACCGGACGACGACAGAATTCCACATAGGCTGCCGCAGCAGAGCTGGGCCCGGAGGCGTGTGAGTTCCAGGTCCGATCCAATCTCTGCTTCACACGATCTTCGATCTCACCGAGGCCGCAAATGCTTGGCAAGTGCTGCGTTCCCGCTCGTTGACCTCGTCTCCCCCAAACCCTGTGGTTTTCCTCCGGGGCAGTGCATAACAGTATGCCAGGAAGCTCCGGAGTTAAAGGGGACATGATCAAGAAATATGTCCATCAACAGCAGGTACAGTTCAGTACTTGTCTATACAGTCTATACCATTTTTCTTAGTTCTATACCATCAAAGGCACTTTGAGACGGTCTTCCAGATCACCTGATAGCTCAAGTGTTGCTCAAGATCTCTATCCAAGCGGCCCTCGTGCCAGGAGTCCTCCAAAACTTTCGCAGCCTCAGCATCCACATCAATGAGGTTCCCATCGAACCGAAGTTGTTGCAACCTGCACTGGCCGCTGCTCAAGTAAGTGGCCCAGGATGGCAAACACGCGCTGGTGATCAAATTTTCCTTGGACTTGACTTGCTTAAGGAACCGGAAACGTGAAACACATCATATTTCCTTAAAAAAGGGATTCACATGGATTCGCCCATAGGGAAAATACAACATCCTCCTAAGAAAAACCAGGTTTCCGCCAAGTTCAAAGTGCGGAGGCTCTGATTATCAGGCAAAGCTATTGCAAATGCCATGGCGCCATCATCTCGGATCTGGTTGAAGGAGACATCCAAGAACTCCTTGGCTTTGTCGACCCCGGACGAAAAGCCGGGAAAATCCACGCGGTCTCTTCAACAAGCATCAACAAAAATGCACCCCAAACATCAACCCGTGCACACCAAGATTCCAAGGCATCGTTGAAACGGAGAGCCTCTGCCAAGATGCTTGCACCGTGACATTGGATCTGATTCTCCCGCAGGATCAGCTCCGACACATGCGAATTGTCGGTGAGCCCTCAGCACCGGAAGTAAGCGGATCCGGGGTGTTACGCTTCCAAGCAGGTGGAGTCCAAGTGATTTGAAGGCATTACGCAACAAAAAGGCCAGATGAATGTATTGCAATACTATCATTTGATACGTATATAGAGTGATCTGCAATCTCTTGCCCTTCCCAGGGTGTACGCACTGGCGCCTGAAGCGATGGCTTTGGCGCCCGCGGGAGAGAAGGAATTCTGCCTCAGGTCCACGCGCTTCAGGTGGTGGTTCGTACGAAAGATCTCCGCAATGCCGTTGGCCGAGGCGTCGTTCATGGCATTGTCACGCAAGTCCAAGTCCCGAAGAGCATGCTCTTCCAATCCTTGAGCTGGCGGCCTTTGGGGTGTTCTTACCACATGGGCGAGCCTATTTCGCTTCAACTACCAGTAGTGTGTGCCCCATGTAGGACCCTTTGCTCCACGGCTTCTGCTGAAAAAACTCCCACATCTTTGCTGGCAGCAAATTGGATGTTGGCCACTATGCTCACTAGCACATCTTAAGGCTTAAACATGCTTAAATTAAGGGGGGGACAATGGATCTGTCATGATCTGTCCATTGACCTGAGCCGAGCGCAGGCTGGATCGCGCACCCCTCGCTCCCGGCTCAAATGGCCCCCTGACCACCTGAATCGTGCCCAGAGGCCCTTGGCCAGGGCGGTGAGCACCCGGACGGACAAGCGACACTTGGAGAGGGACAGCTTGGTCAAGCGCACGTAGAAGGGCAAAGCCTCAGCCAAGATCAGCACCTGCGGACGTGGGGCGATCGAATGCCGGTGGGTTGGTTGAAGTACCTGGTTCTGAGTCCAGGAGCCCATGGTTGGTCCCATCCAAATTTCCTTGTGCTCCCATGTGATTGGAAGCGGGACACGGGATTGAGCGACCCATCGCGGCTTCATGCCACCCGGAAAGTCTCCAAATGGTGGCTGACGCTGCTCAGGTGGACAGGGCTAAGCGGCTAACAGCCTGGGATCCTTTTTCTGGTTGCCCTGTGAAGTGTACATCAAAGCAGGGAAGCTGTGCTTGTTCCTTCTCCAAACCCGAATTGCAGTGCAAATCCATGGCCAAGCGCAGCTGTCTGTGTTGACCCAGAACTAACTAGTCTTTGGCCAAGCGCAGCTCAAGGCTCAACATCGCCACTTCTAGGGATGAAAGAAAACAATCAGCGCTGATGTGTCTCTCAAAAACATATTGACCACTCTAAATGGATCTAAATGGTAGGGTCCATCACAGGAAGGATCTGGTCTTAAGTGAGCCCTCGAAAAAGCTTGGCACTACTAAATGGTCATCCAAATGTTTAGTATTGCAATGCTCTGCACAAGCTTGGAATGCCTCGAATATGATGGCTTGGAGGAATCGCATACTTGTTATCTCCCAAACAAGGGCCCGTGGATGATGAATGATGCTTCTTTAGGCCGAAAAATATGATCCTTGGGACGAACCCGACGAAGGGTGGCCTCCGTGGCCGGCAATTTCATCAGCCGCAGCTGCGTGCTGCTCTGCGCCTGGCTGCGTGGTGCGCCACCGATGGTCGGAGAGAAAAGGAACAGGTGCGGAATGGAAGGCGCAAAGGAGGGGGGCAGGGCGTCTTGGTGCCCAAGATTGACTGCCAGGTGCTTGGCTGCCTTGAAAAGAGCTCCCAGAAGTTGAGTCGGGGGCGCATGGATGAACATCGTCTTTGAGTCACAAGAGGTCCCTTGCGTGCTAAGAACGCCCCACACGACACCACAAAAACCAGCAACTACTGTTATTGAGCTTTTCTGGCATGGCAACAACAGCCCTCACGTGTCAATCAGTGTCGGAATCGTTGGCCTAACCCCCACCCTGCCAGCCTTCTGATTGAAGGCCTTCTCTTGCTGATAGATGATGGCTTCCTGTGGGGGGATGGCTTCTCAACATCTTCCAGAGTCACGGGCGAATGGAGGTTACACACCAGCTGCACCAGCTGCTTGCTGTGCCTCATGGAAAAAACACATGAGGCAACCCCCGACCAAGTGGCGCAGTGGTGTGCGGTGTGGGACTCAGGATAGCAGCAGCAGCAGCATGGCCGAACCTGTTGATCTATGTCTGACCTATCAGTCCCACTTATGGTATAGTTCTTTGTTCCTCTCCATTCAACTCAGCTAAATGTAGTGGATCTATATAGATGTAGTGGATTGAGAGAAGATGGCACAATCCCCAAGTTTGGAGGTTTAGATGAACCCCATGAAAATGACGTGTAGGGCCAATGTAGGGGCCATCTACTCTCAACAAAAACTGTAAAAGGCTCCACTTCCAACATCCGAGTTCCACTTCCAACATCAAAGTTCCACTTCCAACAGCCGAGTTCCACTTCCAGCAGCCGTTGGAATATCAAAATCGACCGGATTCTGTTGTTTGGCAAAGTATTGCCTGGTCAATCCAGCTACGAAGTTTGACAGAAGAGTTGGCAAAAGTCGAAGGGCCGTTGTTTTTTTTTCCTCTGGTCCTGACATCATTGCTGATCTAACTGCCTCTTTAAAGGTAGTTGGAAGGACCTCCAGCCACATTTCCAATCCAAAAACTCTAAATGTGTTCGATTGACTCTTTCCTTAATCCTTTTCTGGTTGGCGGTTTTCATTCACTTGAGGAAAAAGAACAACTAATTATTTATAGTCAGGGAATCAATCATCTCAAATAAAGATATGCAAATCAACATATCCAAATCCACCACCCCGTTTTGCTCTGTCCGGCCTCGCCTCGTCCAAGAAGTAGCGGAACCTCAAGGCTCCATTGGCCACTCTAGCCTGGAACATCTTGGGTGGCATAGGTGCCTGCGCGATGAACAAGGGTCCAGGGCCCCATCAAAGGGAAAACCACAACGAGGCACAAGTGTGAAGAACCATGATTTGCATGAGTCTAGGTGATCGATGTTGTTGGAAACACCTTGAACATCCCTGACTTGAGAGGAGGGAGACACGAAAGGTAGGACAGCGGGAAGAGAAGAGAACGCGAGAGGCAGGAACAAAAATGCAATGTTCGACATGGTGATTTATCCCCTCGGAGGCGACCTTTCGTAAATATATGTTCATATGTACTCTAAATGTTCAAACATATGCTCTCGAAATGTTCAAAAAGATTCTTAGGAAAACAAACTTGCCCCATGGCTCAGATCATCGGTGAGCATTGAATCGGAAGATCATAGGATTTGAACTATCGTGAAACCATAAGAGGCTCACGAAGACGCTCCCCAGGAGAGAATTGACGTGCTTCACAAAACAAACTCTAGGTATGTATCCCCTCGGGGAACACCTTTCGTGATTAGAATTTCATATTCACTCTTCGTCACTCTTTCTGAATGTTCAAGAGGGTTTCAACTATCCTGAAATCATGAGAGGCTCACGAAGACGTTCTCCAGGAGAGAATTGATTTTAGAGGGGGGGGGAGGGGGGGGGGTCTGTATTGAAAAATCAATTGGGGGGGGGGGGTCTGAATTGAGCGATCAATTATTAGACCCGGACGTCCCAACACTTGCTTCGCAAGACCAACTCAAGGTATCCCCAAAGACAGGGCTACCTTTCGTGAACTAGTCTTCTGGAGCTGAAAAACATGTCCAATCATTCCATTGGCGCACCTCTTTTCTTGATTGGCGTGATCGCTTGAGCGTCCGGGGCCGGCACTTCGGCAGCTTAAGGTGATTTTACGGGGTCGACGTCTGGTATAGTCTATTCTGTTGGTCCGTGTTCGAAACAAACAGCTACTATACATACGCATACCAGAACCCCCAACGGGTGGTTAACCGACACCGCTTAACAGTTATATAACAGCTAAGGGGCTATAAATAGACACCCCTTGGAGGGTCCTGGTATATATATATATATACATAACATATACCAGCACCCTCCAACAGGTCGCAGTTGAGGGTTGTTGAGCAGGTCTCAATTGGTGACCAACAGCGACTCGGGTCCTGGTACCAAACAGTAACAAACAAAAAAACATGTCAACCATCCTAAGACTTTGAACTGGCTGATCGTGGAGACTGAGGCTTTAGGGCTTGAATTAGTCCAACGACCCGACTCCACCCAAATGAAAAGAACTGAACCATGGTTTCTTCTTTGTTGTCCCCGGGGCCACATTCGATGCCTCACGGCACCATGCCACACCCAACAGGATCCATGCCAGCCCGCCGTCCTTGTGCTCCTCGATGGAGTCCAAACACACCAAGCGCCTGGGATCGCTCCTCATGACGGACCACTGAGCTTCCGCCAGGCACCAGCCGCGCTGCAGGTAGGGTGTGTCATCCAAGATCAAATGCTTCAAACGTGTAGGTCCCTGAATCACCTGAGAGCATGAAGGAGAGCAGATCTTTCCGTCAAAGGCAAGCTTGAATCGATTCCCACTGATTGAGAGCAAGGAAATGCTATCATTCTGAAACCATTCCAGGCATCTGAAAAGTCTTGGAATGCATAAGCTGCGCGCACCTGGCAAACCATTCAAGTATGCCGATGCCGTATGTTGTCGTACATCAGGTGGGGAACTGGTCTGGCGTCATCTGGCTTATCTTCTGGATCTATTCCTTCTGCCGCTTCAACCCCCTACGTTTCTCTGGAAAATGCTTGCTAATTGGCAGTATTGAAAGCCAATCACTGACAAAAAAAACAGCTATCAAATCCGTCACATCCTGGAGAATTACTGTAACCAGCGACTAGCTATAGTCACAGTAGAGACTTGAGAAATGGGAGTAATGTCAAAAATCAACTGCATGAGTCACAACAATGGCAGCCTTTGCTTGTGCCGGAAACATACAAAGCGCAAGACCCATCACTTGCAAAAGTCAATGAAAACAAATCCATACCCAAACACTCCATGTATGACACATTACACCTACAATACATTGGGGTGGTTCAAAGTGAGAATCAATGCGGCATGTATTCCAAACATCGAATGCTGGGGGGTGATGCTCGAGTTGTGTCTCTGCTCTTGCGGAAACATACGTGTCCATATGTTTCCATGCTTTCATGTTTCTTCCTAGCCTCCGACTTCAGTGCTTCTCGAAATTTGGCCGCAGGTGTGAATCCTGTGATCTGGTAAGTGAAGGTCTTTTCATGCGAGTACAGCGCATAGATGTACTTGGGGCACAGGCTCTCCATCGAGTCCTTCCGGTTGAGGTGGCTCACCGACATGAAGTCGATGAAATACCTTTCGGATCGCCCGGATTCGCTGTCGATGAAAGGCGCTCCGCTGAGCCAGACCTCCCTAGCACTCCCCAGACCTGGAGACAGATAGGACTGATATCAGTGACAGGAACTTGCTGGTAGGCTGGTAGGTCATATGGCCGCAGATGTTGAGAGACCGTGACACAAAAAGAGTCAAAGACCGTGACACAAATGGTCTCACGCAGAGTCCCTGAGACCTTCGGACACTTCCTTCACATGACTAGGGGGAAAAAAAACTTTGGACTTCAAGGGGCGTGCTGGAAAATTGTGAGACATGCTGGAATGATCTGGAATGTATTAAACATGTTTCGCACAAAACATCCATGAACTTTTTTAGTGGATCTGGATGTCCAAGCACTTCCAAGATTGGACCAATATTGGTTGACTGTTGGTGATTGTGGGGTGAATACAGTGGCTTCAGAGTAGATGGCACAATCCCAGAAAGGTGGTGTATATATGGACCCCAGCCCATCTGTCGACAGGGCATCTTGGGGTGCTGCCATCGAACCTCTGAAACCTGTGTACAAGCGAGAAGGGCACTGTTAGCAAATCATTTCAACTTTCAGGCTACAAACAGTAAGAACTGACACTCGCACAGTTGGACAGGGTCTTCCCATGTGGAAAAACCATCCTTTGTCACACATCATCACACATCCAAAAACACAAAGGTCAGGGGACTGGAGATTTCTGCATACATGGAATCCTGAAATCAACCACCCCTGGCCTGACCGGCAGTCCTATGCCAGTCCCATGACCGTAGTTAGACGTCCACTACACAAAACAGGCCGAAACCGATGCCCGACATCCTTCGTTTAAGGGTCCAGGACAGCGAAGCAGGCCAGTGCTGTGACTTGGCCAGGACTTCCAGTTGATAGCCGGCAGGGTCCGGATGCTGATCACACTCCCACACCTGAGCGGTCCAACTGAAGGTGGACGCTGTGCCTCTGAGTGAGGAACACGTCCAAGGAAGTAGTATGACACAAATGACACAAAGAGAAACACCCTTAGTGGTGGTCAACCACCATCCTTACCATGATGGGAACCACTGGGAGCTCACGGTGGTGAGAAGTGCCTCAAACCTTACAAAAGGACCGCGAGGTCGAACCCTGATTTGTTAAGTTGTAGAATGTTGTAAATCAAGGAGCTGAGTACATCGATAACCGTTCATTCTACTGGTAGGTCTTACACCTGATGATTCTGGGGATGCCAGTTGCCCCTGGCGAATATTAGCTGCAGCAGTATGGTTCAGGTTTGACTATATGCCTCAGCTTTGCTCAAAAGCCAGTTGATCCAGTTGGGTGATTTTGCATAGTAGTGGGTGGCTGGTTGGAGAGTCCTAAACACTGCTTGGCTGATGTGAAGTTCGTGGAATTCCTGGAAAAGGGCAATCTCCACCCCAAAATCTGTTTGTGTTTGAGGGCTCAGATTCTTAGGCTACAGAATCAGGATGTCCCAAAAACTGCTTGTAGGATGTGTCCTCACTCACATATTCTGTCCCAAAACTGCTTGCAGGATGGGTCCTCACTCACATATTCTGGAGGTGAAGGTGCCTTGCAACCCCGCAATTCCCCACCTAACCCAGTGGACAATGATGCTTATGAGAAAGCTAAAGTAGAGTCCGGGGTCCAATGATGATAAGGCATTGCCCACTGCAACAGTGGGTGGCACTACCTACAGACACCCGAAAGTGCCCGGAAGGAAGCCGCGTATATACCACATACCCTCCCTTAAACCAACAATGCTGCCGACCCATCTGCTGCTTGTAAAAGAACCTCGTCGCTGCAAAAGGTTGCTGTGTTTCTCCACGGGAGGTTGCCTTCTAGAGATCCAAACACACCCGTCTCGTTTCGGCTACACCACCTGAAACCTGAAAAATTGGAACCTGAACATGCACCTTTGGCAAACCAACTTCTTCCACACACCAGTGGTCAGATCGTGGGGCCTCGAGGGCGGCTCCGGAGGATCCAAGCCACATGAGACAGGCAAATGATCCGGACGCGGCTCTGCATCTCCTCGGCTACTCCACCGTGTGAGAAGTCACACCAGAAGCATTCCTGTGTTGACTTCTTTAGAAGCCACACCATGAAACGGAATGAAACACGTGGTACTAGTGCGCTGAGTAAGAAGAGAAGTCAAAGTGTAAAATGGAAAGCGGTATCTTTTCCGGCAAGCTATATAGCTATAGCTATAACCCTCAAAGCAACTCACCTCTGGTAGTATGTCAGCATTACTTTTACACAATTGGTATTGCAAGTAGTACACACGGATGAAGACCTCCCCCGCCAGAACGTGTTCACATGCAGGGCGATGTTGCATTCATCTTGGGGGGTCGATCGGCCCCAAAGACGCTCCCCTAGGATTCAAAGAACTATGGTTTTAATGGTCTGAATCCCAAAGAACACAGACCATTAAATCAAGGATTTTTATACTACACCACCAGCTCAACCGTTCTTTTAATGGTCTTTGAAGGCTGGGGCTCTTCATAAGGAGGGATCCCGGGAATCCGATTTCATCTCGTCAGGAGGGATCACCAGGCATCTTCCGTCGTGATATTTTTCACCGACCCAGGGGTGACCACATTAATGGGGGGAGGGGGATCGAAAGAGAGGGATTCTGAGGGACTGTTGGGAGAGCGGAGCGTGAGCGGCACATGTTCGACAAGAATGACAGTTTTCAATCCTTTTCGAGTTTTGCTGGTGTGTCTGGAAAGCAAAGTTGCTGACAAAGATTAGGGACAGTACGCAAAATTTGAAAAATTGAATTTCCAAGGACATCAAAAAAGAAACAAAGAAACCAACAAAAAACAAACAACACAATTGTGACAGGACTTTGCCCCTCTCCCCCCTCCCCCATGGGCGGCCTATTAAGGGGATATGTTGCAAACTTAAAGCCTAAAAGCCATTGAACCTGGGGGTGCGAAACAAAGAGATCAACTCGTCTGGGCAAAGCCTGGGCGCATTCTTGTTCAGCCTCCACTGCTCCAACTCTAGGCTGCTCACAAAGGCCTTTTCCTCAATGTCCTGGGCAAAGTACCCCACAATTATATATGGTCCATGGTCCTCTTGCGTCTGTTGCAATCGTTAAGAACAATCGTTCCGCCTCTTTGCAAGTCAAACTTAATCATTGAGTGAACTGAGGCTACCTCTTCCCTGCTGCTTTGGTGTGCCTTCTGAATAAGGTTTGTAGCGACCCTGTTCCTTTAGCAGCTCTGATGTTCGGTTGGTGAACCTGATCGGGCAGGCGGCATTTTTGCGATTCCCCACTGAGGTCATTGAGCAGTCCAATTGTTAATAGGAGAGCGTTCGCCGGGACCTGTGCTTTCTGGGTGAATAAGCACACCCCAACAATCCAAGAAACCAACCATCTTTACCTACATCTGACGCATCTACAAGCATCTTAAGCATTTAAACCAGAAAACCAAAAACTCACACACAAAAAAAACACTCCAAAAAGCCACCCATCGACGGTTTGGCCCCAATCGACCTCACATCCCTCGACTGGTCCCGTCCATCCCCGGGTCACCCGGTTAGAACGGCAGCTGTTCGGGGAACGCTGCCCTGGTGGTGAGACGGAACAGTTGCAGGCCATCAAAAATCGTGACTTGCTGGTGCAACCCGGTCCTGTTGCAGGTAAGAACGGACCCAAACCATACGAAATGTTTATTCATTTCAACAGAACAAGAGGCGTGACTAGTCACCCGCGACAGCTCAAAGAAAGGAACCAAAAACAGCACACCTCTGCAGCAGTTGGTGCAATGCCAATGCTGCCGTGAGCGATGACAGTATAACACATGTGTGCATGAGTATGCATACATTTATCTTGCATGGGTTTGTCTGGAAGGGTGTATATATATATATTATATATTAGGGTAGTTAAATCAAAGGAATGCAATCTCCAGTAAATAACTATATGATACTATATGCACATTTTGATTGAAAACGTCTCTCACCAAATCAGCTGCCCATCGGGTACGCAGCGTAGGTTCTCCGCCCTCGGCCAGCGATCCATCGCCGCGTTCCGAACGGGACGGGCGCACCTGTCGTCGGGGAAAGGCTCGCTGCTCCTCGTGCAGCCATTGCAGGTAGGTGCCGTGGATGAGTCGAAGGTCCTCGTGGTGCAAGACCTCGATGAGCGCGTCGGAACTCTGTAGATCCTGGGGTGGCTCGTCCGCTGGGCGGAGGGCGGAGAGCACCGGATGGGGAGACAAAGGACAGGGAGTGAAGCGAGTGGAGCGCCAAGCAGGTGGTCAGAAGAGGAGTGAAGGAGGTTCGCCTTCTTAAGAACATCAGACTACACGAGGCTGCCTCTACCCCTGGTGTTTTAACACAAAGACAGATGTGCGAAGCTTCCGAAACCAGCTTCCATGAGCTGCGTTGAGCTGTTTCAACCAAGCAGGCCACATGCTTTGTTAAGCCCAGCCATGTTGAAGCCCAACATCCAATTGAGCTCAGCAAGCAAGCTGTGAGCTCGGGTGAATGCAGTAAATTCGGCCAGCTAAGGGCTCTAAGGTTGAGTTAGGTAATACAAACCCAAACACTCCATGTATGGAATATATGCCTACATTGACCCCCCAAACCACCCCAATGTAGGCATATATGACATACATGGAGTGTCTGGGAAAGGTGGAGTGTTGAGCCAAGCGGTAACGGCACAGCAAATGCTTAGGCTCAGTGCCAGCCGAGTCTGGAGCTCTCAGAAGAAAAGCTTAGCATGCTAGCATGCTAGTGTTGATCTATGCAAAACACGTATGCGCTGCATTAGCTTAATGTCCAAGCTTAATGCTGCATGAGCTAGCCAAGTGAATACCAAAGTACCAAAGTGCTGGGACCGAAGCTAAGATCTGTGAGTCTCTGAGTCTGAAGCACCAACCTGTTGTCGAGGCATCTTCGCCGCTCCAACCTGTTGTCCTATGATTATGCCTGCGAAGGTAGGAACAAACTCTCCAAATCCATCTATGGAGTAGTAGATGGCACACTCCCAAAGGTGGTCTATATCCATGTTCAGTCCAGGGGTCACATGGAGTTGGGTGGTGTTTGGTCCCTAAATGAGTGGAGTAGCGCACCCCGACTGCCTCCATGGATAGCACCCCGTCGAACGTGACTCCTGGGTGTGAAAACCACGGTACTTTCCAAGGGGAGAGAGCAGGTGCCTACATCATCCCACATAAACTATCCAAGCCAATTCCGTCACCCAAATGCAAATCTGCAAATCTACATGGTTTGTGTCTCACTCATTGTGCTCTTAGATCTTTCATGCCATGGTCCTTCATCTCAGCCAATTGGGAAACTCCCTCCCTGTCCCTCTTTCACTGGTAAGGAGTTCGACCCTGGGGCTTCAAAACACTTCAGGAGGCCTTAGACAAATCCGAACCCCCCCCAGCTCTGCTGCTCTGCGTGGCGGTGTCCGTCCCGGATCGTGGCGGACCCCGTGCTACGTACCGCGACGTCTCGCGGCCCACTTCCCCCGTCTCGGGTCCACTTCCAGATCGTCCGGCTCATCCAGCTTCCGAGAAGGCGATGGTTCCATGATGGGAGAGACTGAAGAGACTTCAAGCTGGATAATATAGTCTCCAGAGACTGCCAACGGTGTCAAACAGAAAAACACCACACAGCGCAAGCGAAAGGCAAGGATCGGGGATCGGGGCTCCGATGGATCGGGGACGGGATGCGAGCTCGGTAAAAGCAAACATCCACCTCTGAGGGCTCTATCCCCCCAAAATGTAATCTTTTAGCCGTCCTAGCCCAACAGCTTCAGGAATCTCTTGCACAATCCTGCCTCAAAGACTCAGTAACAAAATGCTCAATCTGCTTGATCTTGATTATCTCATTTTCCACCAAACAACCCTGATGACCAGAGCAAACTATATCCTGAAAAACACCCTACAATATGTGCAATTCTTGGTAAAGCCCCCGAACACCTCTGATGTTCTAATATAGCCGAACCGTTCTAAGTTCTAACATCATCCTACGAGCAACATCCCTCCACGACTCTCCACGACAACACCAATCTGCCACTCTCCTGGCTTGATCTCATCAAAGTCATCCTTCTCCCCGCCACTGGGCGCACCTCAAATTCCCGCGGGAAATGGCCTGCTACAAGTCCCGTGACTGAGAGAAAGATCTTGGAACCTCCCCAACCCAAAGAAGATTCAATCTCCTGTCCATTCCCTCTTGCAAAGTCGAAGTGGCTTGGAATGTGTGTTTCCAAATATCGTTGAGACGTTCATTCGGAGAAGCTAGGCTTCGACCAGTAATCCTCATCTTTGCAGCTCTTGCGCTCTTGAAGTAGTCTTGTACCAACACTATGCGGACCGCTGCTGATGGCAAAGCTCGCTTCAAGTTACACGAAAGCAATGTTGCTTGAAACCCAGAACACTTTAGCTAACCGACAGGACATGTTCCCATGACACCGGGTACCTCGCACTCGCACCTCTGGTAGAAATATGTGGGCTACATCGACTGGTAGCCAAGGAAGCCTAGGCCTAGGCCTATGGCCACCAAGGCACCAGGCAAGCCACCTTTGGCAACCCCCTATCCACATGCCGATGCCCACAGAGCAGTTCGATAGAACATGCCGGGGGGCTTCCCAGCACGACACCCAGGTCCGTGTGTCCGTCCATGTGAACTCAACCGTTGGTCCCAGGGAACCCCTTTCCTCGTCCGCGGAGGAGCTTCCAAAGATCCGAAGCTTCCCAATCCGAACATCGGTCGTGCCACCGACCAACGGGAAAAGTACCAACCGAACACATGAATCGGTTCACCCACTGGGTAGACTGGGGGAGGTAGACCGACCTAGTCGCACCGCAGCGGATAAGTCCAGGCCAAGCAGCTGGTACCGGCACCACAGCAAGCCATAGCGAGTGCCGGCACCACAGCAGCGGAGCGACTCCCAAGGGATGCAGTAAGAGCTGACGGATTTTTTGTTGGAACAGAGCGATGCTTTTGGGTTTTCTGTTGCTGGCCAGACCATTGCCCGAAGAACGTTCAAACATCTACACTTCATCTTGAACCTGTATACACTATGGTGATTTTTATGGCGTTTTTTTTCTCAAATTGACAGGTGCGCGCAACCGGCTGTGACATCCAGCAAATGCTGCGAATGTGTGCCGCAAGTACCTGAAGAATCCTGCAAATCAAAAGAACCATACAGTAACATATCCAAGACTATGGCTGGTGCTCTGCCTCCTTCTCCCTTCTTGGTCCATCCATCCCTCTCTCCCTCTTTCTCCCTCGTGATGTCCAAGAAGTAGATGGCACAAATCTCCATGGGAATGGTTTAACCCTAGGGCTCCCGTACCTCCGTTTCGAAGGTTGGCCAGGGGTGGGACAACCGGAGGGCCTAACCACCGAACCTCAGGATATGGGCCAGGAGCCCTAGGGTGAGATCTGTTATAGAACACTTTTTTAGAGAACTCGTTTACAAAGAACCTCTATGAAGTGCTTCGTTCGATCATCTCGTCGACTCGGACGCGAGTCGGCGAGGAGATCTGGCGACACATCATGGCGACCCTAAAACCGTTTGAAAAAGGTGACCCTGCTCCCTGCGAAGAAACCACCTAACCAGCAGTTCCTAACCGGCTCTCTGTTGAGCCTGGCGACCCTAAGTCGGGCCACCAAAAAAAGTCTCTAGGAAGGGCCACCAGGTTGTTCCACCTCCCTTTGGCGCCACTCTTTCACGACCACAAAAGGTCACTTTTTCTCCAACAAGCGCACCCCCCCGCTGGCAGTAGAGGCGCGCTAGGTTGGCGTCAGCGGTTCGCGGACCCAAAACCACTGTACAAATCGGGCCGTCCTGGTTTTCGGACGAGCCAGCGGATTGAAATCTCATTGGTTGTCCAAACAATCCCCCCGCACCACTCCCCTGCCACTCCTGCTTCTGCAATAGGGCCAAGTTGTGGGGCTCTAGTGTGTGGAGGGCGGCTTGGAATGTCCTGAAGCACTATCAACTTTGGATGGCTTCAGGAGATTGCACATCGCCATTTCTTCTTCAGTTCCTGCCAGGACCGGAGGGACAAGCGCCGGGTGCTACCTTTTATTGATCCCACAAAGTTTGGATCAGTGGAAAACGGCTACTTGGCGAATGCAGCCTAAGCTGAGTGGATGGATTCAACAAACACAACTATTACACCTTTAACTTGGGTAACCTCTAACTTGGGTATACCCCATGGCAGGTAACAGCGGCTGATGATGGTTAGTTAAAGGCCTTTCTCAAACAGATTGCAAAACCATTTACCGGCTGTTACTCGTAATGGGCCACACGCCCTACATTTATTGAATATAGAATCCAATCATCAACCAATATCAATCAAGAACTTATAGAGCAAGGGTCTGCAACATAAATTTGATGGCAACCGGGAACGCACGGCAAAACCCTTTTTCCGAGAGTCACTGTAGTAGATTCTTATACACCTCAGAAGAGGTTGAACACATCCATCTCGAGTGGATCAACAGGATCAAAAGAACAGAAGCGCCTAGTTCTGTGTGGCTCTCTCATCAAACTTGACCTACTTCACCAAGTCTTTGATTCAATCCATCACAAGCAGCATACACTCCAGGAGCCAAACAACAAATGTAGCAGGAGAAAAAAAAACATGAAAGGCAAACTTTCAACAGGTTCCCTGCCACTTGGGATTCTCAACCACAAAACTCGCGCGTGACCTGCGCAAAGAGATTGTGACACATACCAAAGGGAAAACAACACACGATTATAATAAACTTGAAAAAAGAACCTGGAAATACTTGAAAAAACTACGCTGACCAAGTGGACTGAGCACATGGGTTACACGTATGTCCTCCAATTCAGTGTTCAGCTCCGCCTTTCGAACCTTGCCAGGGTGAAGCGGATTTCAGGACAGGTGAAGCAAAGGACTGGTCGAGAGGTTGCGGATTTCACGGCTGGGTGGCGGGAATCCTTGCCTCCTGAAAGGACTTGTCACATATCCCCTAGGGCTCCAGTCGTACCTTCTGAGAAACTGGGGTGGGTGCCAGGAGGGTCCAGTCATACCTTCTGAGGAGGTACTTGGAGCCCTAGGGATCTTATATCCCCGACCTAAGGTACCTAAGGTACGGCCCTTCAGGAATTATATTGTTATGATGTATGGTTGGGAAATGTTGGGAAGGGTCAAACGATCTTTGTGAACATTAATAGTTGGATCCCTAGCAAACTGTCACCTAGCAGTCCAAGCCACCTTTGATTTGCTGGAGGTTCAGGAGCTGGCAACCCGTAAGCCTTTCTCTTCAATGTTTAGGACAGCCTGGCGAGGGTGTCATCTTTGTCTGCGTCCTGTCTCTTTCCTCTCAAAGTGAATGGGTCAGCAAAGGGAAACCAGGTGATGACTACCCTCCGTCCAGCAATCATGGAAGTGCAAAATGGCCCCTGGAAAACAAAAAAACACATGACATCGTCTACAAACAGGGAAATTCTGAAGAAGAAGGGAGACTTGCTACCCCTAGTTGGCGTGATGTTAAAACTGTTGGTGTTGGGACATGGTCGTGTTCCCTTGGTAACAAGCTGCAA